ATGAGAACATTTTACACTACAAAACATGAGATCCCATCACAGCATTAGGAAACGCCTCGCTCCTGACCCCTCAAACCACCTCGGCATGCGACCTCTTGGCCTCAATCGTCTCCAGCCGTGGCTCTGAATCCGCCTTGCTGAGTGGCCCATCTCCGTGCTGGCCCATGATGACCTCGAATTTCTGCAAGGGAGCACCTTTATCAGCATCAGGTTGTCATTGTGAGAGGATCAATAAGCTTACAGGTCCCTCGAACCGATGTCCATACACCCACCAATTCACCGCACTGACGACGACGAAGATGGCGATAACGACTGATACATAGTCTACGTCACGCGTTAGCGCTCTTCACCTCGCCTGCCGTGCACCAAGCTTTGGACCAGACTCACTCATCGTATCGCTCGTTACGGGCAGAGAGGCAGGGAAACAGAAGAACTGCGGGTGATCGATCAGCAACAGTTGATGTCGAGGGAGCAAATGGGGAACTCACCACGGAGGTCACAACAACAAAAAGCGCCGCCACCCAGTTAATGACATGGCCCCACGAGCCAAGCTGGAACGGCGTATCGTGCTGCTGATGCTCGGCCAAGACGCTGCGTCCTCTGACCAAGAGCGTGATGATGGGGAACGCGTACGAGACGTTGAGGAATATGGTGCACGACGCAATGTAGGCACCAAACGCAACGCTAGGGCCGAGGTAAAGCAGGCCAAACAGCACGTTAAAGCCGAAGCACAGCAGGATGGTTCGCACAGGGACGTTGAGGCCAGGCGTGATGTGGGAGAAGTAGTTTGGGAAGACAATACCCTTGTCTCGCGCCATGGCAAAGAGCAAGCGGCTGGCGCTGGTGACGGATGCGTTGCACCCATTGATGAAGCAAACTCCGAGCATGAGAGTCAACACGCACGTGCCAGCGCGACTCTTTGTTGCCTGCAGGATGAGCTCGACGATGGGCATGCCTGTTGGCGAGGCAAGGACAGTGGCCGGATCGGTGAGACAGAAGAGCATCACAAGGATGAATGCCAGACCTCTGTGATTGAGCAATCAGTCTCGTGATATCTTGAGCGAGGCTGGCGGATATTCATCGACATTTGTACTTACGTTACGCCTCCAACAGCAATGGCGTACACCATGGCCCGCGGAGCATCCCGCGAGGGGTTCGGCATCTCCTCCGTCATGTGCAGAACCACGTCGAAACCAATTAAAGAGAGAGCAGACTGGAGCAGCCCAAGGATCCAAGACATGCCGTCAGACCACCCAGACTCGTTGTTGAAGGACGTAAAGACGTATTCCGCGCTCGACTTGTCGGACATTGATAGGAGGACGATACTGATAACGACAACGCCGAGGATGGACCAGGCGACTGCGTGCTTTAGCCCCGTGGCATCACAGACGGGGACGACATAGAAACTTACGGGCGAGATCGTTCCATTTACCGAGGATCTTGTTACCCCAGATGTTGCCCGCCGTGGCAAATGTCAGGATGGCTAGGAATATCAGGTATGTGTTCCACTGTGTTACAACGAACCTCCCGTCCGAAGCCACAACAGAGGCAGCACATATGAAGAGTGCTACAGGGAATGTCAGCGGGTTTCTCTTGAGGCAGTCTGATTCTTCTTTTTCAGTTTGACGTACCTGCAAAGAACCCTTGAACCGTGACGACAATCAGCCAGCCAACAATATTGGTCCAGCCCACCCAAAAGCTCTGCAACCCAATATCAGACAAGATTTCGCTCGTAGATTGAAGGAAGGACGTACCATGACCCGCTTCCACTTTGTAGAGCAGAGGGCGTACACAAAGTGATATTGACCTCCAGCCGTGGGCCAGATGGCTGCCAGCTCACCAAGACTCGCAGTGAGGGCGAAGTTGCACATCACACAGAAGACAAACCCATACAAAAGGGACACGGGACCCCCTGATGGCAACACAAGGCCTATCGAACCAGCAAGAGCTATCCATGTACTGTTTCGGGATACCATGAGCTTGTTGCACCTGGATACGATCGCAGTGGACTTACTTGAGAATGGCAAATGCCATAGCCACCATGTTGAGGCCCGATAACCGGGCCTGCAGATGGCCAGCCTTTCCGTCATGTGCCATGTCAGTAATCAGTACAATCTGTCCCCCTGTATGATAGGAATTAAATCAACGTGGAAGAATGATTGAAGGTTGTGAGGTAAGAGCACTGATGTTGAGAAATGGGCCATGGGTGATCCAGGAACATGGCACGGGGTCAGCCATGACATTTGTATCCCTTCAGACGACCGCCGTGATGATCAAGGCTAATTTCTTGGGCGACTTGTCCCCAGCATGGTGGCACACAAGTATGTAGTTTGGCGTGCTCTCCGCGTGATCACTCACGACTCAATACGTATCGCGGCTATCTATCAGTGCACTGCCGTCGTAGCGAGGAGGTCATGCTCGGGTAGCGTCGCCAGCCAGTCGAGATATGCTTATCCCACCAGAAGGAGGGTGTATGTCAAGATTGCCAGTACCCCTTGTCTACCGCATGATCCGGGGAACTGGAGCTTCAGCTCGAGGCCCAGCCACTGCCCCTCGCTTGGTGTTATCGCTCCCTCGAGCGCTCGAGGAATTACCGGATCGGGTATGAATGCGAGCGCTGGGCCCTCCCCCTGTTTAGCTTCGAAGCTTGAGTGATAGAGCTAAAATGCGGGGTACAGACGTGCCACGGCGAACTAGAACTGAACAGGCAATTTCTCGAGCACTTTGTCGAAGACGTTATGATAACCGGGTGGGCGAGGTCCCAGATAAGTAGGCGTTGTATGTCAAGTTGCGACGGCGAGCGGGGCGCTATCGACAAGAGCCGTAGGGACGCCAATGCTGATGTGTCGAACTGCTGCGGCTGGGAAGGAGGGTCTCTAGGAAATACCTGAAAGAGAGATCTAACGTCAATCGCAAGGACCCGTTTACCAATTTATGGATGTGATGATGATGGGTAGCCCCTCGTGGTCTCTTTTGCTTGAATCCGCGTAACAATGTCCGTACATAAGCCGCCTTTCAACCAATCCCATAAAGACGGTCGCTTATTTTGTTTGCGCGTTTGAATGCGAATCTTCTACGTTTGTTTGCTTGCTTTCTCATCATCTCGAGGGCATCCTCCACCACTAAATACAAGCAAGCACTACAATGTCGTCCAGAGACGGCTTTTCTTGGACCGAAAAGGACGGCTTGAAAGCCGGAGTTCCCTGCATTGGCGCCATTCAGCCTCCATCAAACCTGCCAGAGGCGGCAAAAGACACTGTTTACGATGTTGTTGTTGTAGGCGCCGGATACTGCGGCTTGACTGCTGCACGAGATGCAGCTGTTGCAGGTAAATACGCACAATTACCATGATGCGTCTCTTTCCGTTCTGGTGTACTAATTAGCTACCAGGGCTCAAGGTCCTTCTCTTGGAGGGACGGGATCGCATTGGTGGACGTTCTTGGTCTTCCAATATTGGAGGATATCCCTTCGAAATGGGCGGCACCTGGGTTTTCTGGGGACAGCCCAATGTCTGGCGGGAAATCAAGCGCTATGGGATGGAAGACGAGCTGGAGATATCCTACGACTTCTCGAGAGGCGTCAACCAGTATCATTTGGTAAACGAACAAGGCACGCAGAAATTTACACACGATGAAGAGGTACTATTATTACCCCCCCCTTGGAACCCCTTTTTGATGCTCGCTGCTGACTGCCCATGCAAACAGGACGCACTGATGGAGTCGGGTCTGCGCAAGCTTGTCAACGTCGACGGCGCACACGGAAAGAAAATCATGCCCTTCCCTCACACGAGCAAATTCACTCCAGAAGCCCTCGCCTTGGACAAGCTGTCCGTCGCCGACCGCTTGGCGCAGATTAAAGACTCGCTCACACCCAACGAGCGTCTTGCCGTCGAAACATTCGTTCTCCTGTGCAGCGGAGGCACCCTCGAGACGACGAGCTTCTTCGAGATGATGCACTGGTGGGCCCTGAGCGCCTACTCGTACGAAGGTTGCATAGAGTATCTCGTCAAGTACAAGTTCCACGGCGGCCAGTCCAGCTTCGCGATCCGCTTCTTCCAGGAGGCGCTCGCCACGGGGAATCTGTCGTACGCCTTCAACTCGCCCGTAGCGGCGGTCAAGAACACTCCTGCCGGCGTACACGTCACGACCCGTGAGGGGAAAGGCTACAAGGCCCAGAGGATGGTCAGCGCCATGCCTCTGAACATCCTCAACAGCATCGCCTTTGAGCCCCCGCTATCGGTGGGCAAGAAATCGGCGGCGGACACGGGCCACGTCAACCAGTGTGTCAAGGTGCACGCTGAAGTCAGGGACCGCGACCTGAGATCGTATACGGGCATCAGCTATCCTCACAACGGCCTCTTCTATGCCTTTGGAGACGGCGAGACGCCTTCGGGAAACACCCACATCGTTGCGTTCGGGGGCCAACACCAGCACTTTGAACCAGACGAAAACATCGAAAAGACAAAGGAGGCTCTGCAGGGTCTCGTGCCCATGGACATTGAGCGCATCGTAAGTTCTCTCCTTTCTCTTGACTACCGACGTCTTATTGTGTTTCGCACCGTTTGACCTCGCGGGACACAGGTCTTCCACAACTGGTCCAAGGACGAATTCGCCAAAGGAGCTTGGTAAGTCTCGCCACTGTGCTGACGTCTTGTTTCGTTTGACTGACCCATTGTCAAGGTTCTTCTCCAAGCCAGGGCTCCTCTCTACACATCTGGGCGACATGCGCGCTCGACAGGGCAACATTTTCTTCGCGAGCTCGGACTGGGCGCTAGGCTGGCGCAGCTTCATCGACGGGGCCATCGAAGAGGGAACGCGCGCGGGCCTGGCGGTGCGCAACCACCTTGCGCAATCGCGTCAGACGCCGCTGAAGCCCAAACTGGCATGATGGGAGAAGCCCTACTAGATCAAGACTTTGGAAGACGGGTATCATAGGGCAGAAGGGTGTTGTGACGGTGGGAAGCATTCAATTGGGGTATATCACTGTAAAAAGAAACAAAGCTACATGACGAGCACATGGAAGTCTTTCGACATGATCTCAGTCCATCTTTTGATCCCTTGCATGGCCCATATCGTTTCCAGAGCCTGTAGGGCGGTAGTGATGCTGCCGAATCCCGTAAACTGGTGAAGGTCTTTCAGTCGCCCCGAGAAAAACTCGCGGTGCTCTGGAATACTGCTTTCTGCCGCGGCGATAAAGTAGGGCCACACTAGCGCATGTGCACCGGGGGTGTGGGCATCTAGTGGGAGAACTCGTTGGCGAAGCCACTCGACGAGTGATACCGAGTCCTCTGTTGATGGTGAGGAAAGGGCGCGCCTCCTGTAAAGCTCACAGGCATCTCGGATGGCGCCTCGCATTATCTGCACGTTGGACTGGAGCTCGGAGCCGGGGGAAAGGGATGGATAGGCGATGAAGTCCATGTAGTTATCGGGCGGTTTCTGCAAGACATCGAGGCCTTTTGTCTCATCCGATAATGGAAAGCCGAACAACTCGAACCTGTTCAGTTTTATGAGCGACATTGTGTGATCTTGGCATTGGAATCGCTCACATTTTGACCTGCTGCACAAAAAAGTCCCTCAGGGCGAGAGGCAGCGCCGCGATAGCTTCAGGAGACTGCCGCAGGCATGTGAGCATCTCGAGCAGGTAGACAAAGTTGTCAGCCCCCGTGATCGTCTCGCCGACGAGAAGTACAACAATCGTGGCCCAGGTGTAGGGCGTGAAGAGTTGATCTGGGCGGAGCATGAGGGAGTCTCGCCTCAACTTTTGCACAATGGCTTGGTGTCCTGCCAGAGCCGTGTGTTGTAGGTGCGGGGCCTTTTGCGCCAGATGAAAAGCTGCCACGACGGATATCGCTCGCCGAAGCACATCATTCTGCATAGCTAGGGGCAAGATGACATCTCGATACCCGTTTCCCGCGAAGTCAAGGACTACCATGACTGGGGCTATGTGGTCACAGACTAGCAATCGTCAGCCAGGCAGGAGAGAAGAGGGTGGTGAAGGAATGTACAGTGGCTCATCAGCATCCTGGCCTGAGGATGCAGCGGCTCATCTGGAGCAGCTCTGAGAGGCATAAAGTCTCGTCTGGCTAGTGATGAGAAGGATGCTGGATCCAGCGTGGAAGCGTGTACCGGCACCAAAGCCATGGTCTCTTGAACGGCTGGGTCCACTAGAGACCCTAAGGTTAAAGGAGAGGAAGCGATACATGGTGTTGATGAAGACGAAGATGGGTTCGATGGTACGGGTGATTGTGATGTTCGCGATGCACTCTTCTTCTTTGCCCTGGAGGCAGGCGAAGCCGCTGTGGCCATGTGGCTGCTGAATCGGCAGCGCAAGCCTTGGCCAGAGCATGGAATGCCCTTCTTCTGACATTTCAAACATGATGGCTCCGTCTTATCACATCGTAGTCGTCTCCTGCAACACTCATAGCACCCTGAGCGAGTCAATCAGTCTCAACGTCTCATCGATTCAATCGACGTGAGAGGCTGAATGGGGGAAGAATGGGAAGGAGCACAGGCCGTCAGCCGCTCGAGGGCTCTGGATGAGATACTCACCATCATTTCTCCGGGCCAATGACCGCGTCATTTTTGGGCTGAATCAATCATCCAGGGCCTTGACGAAGCGAGCAGGGTAATATGATAGTCAAGAATTGATACAACATTTCGACTGTGATCTTGACATGTCCAAGATAGATAAGCGGGGTGGGGGGGGTCGAGCACCCAAACACAAGGGCCGCTTCAGGCCGGCATTCCGAGGTTAACTGTACAGGGGGGGAAGGTTCTAGCGGAAAGGTACCTGAGCTACCTGTGTCCCAGCGGGCGACAGAGCCCCCGCACTTGGCCCGCGCTGTCGCTATTTGTCCATGCGCCCGCACTGTATGATGTAGGTTTTGGACAGTATCAGTGTACAATGTACAATGTACAATGTAGTGGGTGGGTGCTGCGCCTTTGAAAGGTCCGAAGCTCTCACGAGCAGGCTGACCGTTGCCTGCGCCTTCTCCAACCTGGCCTTGTCACGAGCTGAGCCTTGGGCAGCACTCGCTGCTTCCAAATCGGCCATCTGCCACTTGCCATCAGACAGCCCTCACTTACCGACCACCACCAGTACCACCAGTACCACCACCAGTACCTCCATCACCAACACCCAACTGCACTCACCAGGACAGGAACCACGAGTGCCGCATGATCTACCTGCAACTCCACCCAAGCAAGCCAAGCTCACCTCACTCAAGCACCAGACACAAGGACGTGGCCACACCCTCTTCTCCGGACCTACACCACCCCATTCGCCCACGTCCAGCTGCAGTCTGCAGGCACCGGTCCCTGGAACGAATGACGCACACCCTCTGTGTCTTTCCCAACTGCTCCGCGTGCGATCCCAAATCACCCAGCCCGTCTCGTGTCTCGTGGCGTCCTCTGACTTGACCGCATGACGGCCCGCCGGATCTGACAGATCATTGAGGACTCGTCCATCCGTTTTGCCTGGAAACCGCTGATTTCATCACGGAATTCGCGTGCTGGTCGAACGGCATATGGCGTGTTCGACTACTCTTCCACCTCACATTGTATCAAACTAAACCCGCGCAACCCCGCCCTTCAGGACCGATGCCTCACGCCTCGATCGGACGCTGACGTCCAAGGCCATCACCGCAGTAACTTTACCCGTTTCCTTCGAATCGTCACCTTTGACGTTTCGGGATTTGAACCGATCAATCGGTCAATCAATCAGCAGCCAGTCGATTAAGCAAGCCCACGAAATGCCCATCCCCCAGAATGAACCTTCCTCGAGAGGGCGTCCAACACCTGCTGTCAACCAGAGCGAACCTCCTTCGCAAGCCAACAGCAACTTGACGCCGACTCTTACAGGCAGCACGCCGCGGAACGGCTCCTTCGATCAAACACGTGATCCCATGGCAAACGAACGCTCGCCGCTGCTTCGCCCTGGCCCGGACGACGATGACCTGGGCGATGGGAATACCGTCCTCGGCGACAACGACGACTCACAGCAGACCAAGAGTGTTTGGTATCTCATACTTCTGACGATCAGCATCGGAGGCCTACAGATTGCCTGGTCAGTAGAACTGTCCAACGGCTCGCCCTACTTGCTGTCGCTCGGCCTGAGCAAGTCCCTAATGGCCTTGGTCTGGATAGCTGGGCCCCTCACCGGCACCCTGGTGCAGCCCTACGTCGGCATGCTCAGCGACAACTGCCGCGTTCCTTGGGGCAAGCGCAAGCCCTTCATGGTCGGCGGTACCATCGCCACCATCATCTCTCTGATGTTCTTGGCGTGGACCAAGGAGATTGTCGGAAATGTTCTTGGTCTTTTTGGAGCCCATCCCGAATCTCAGGGCGTCAGAATCGCCATCATCTGCGCCGCCGTCGCTGGTATCTATATTCTTGACTTTGCCATCAATACGGTGCAGGCCGCCATCAGGGCATTCATCGTCGACTGTGCCCCCCCGCATCAACAGGAGGCAGCCAACGCCATGGCGAGCAGGATCGTAGGATTCGGCAACATTATTGGATACTGCGCTGGATATGTCAACCTACCCCCACGCCTCTGGTTCCTCGGCGACTCGCAGTTCAAGATCCTTTGTGCCATCGCAAGCATTGCGCTAGCAGCCACTGTCGCCCTGAGCACCATTCTGATCAAGGAGCGGGATCCCCGACTGGATGGGCCCCCCGCCAAGACCGATTCAGGAGTCTTGTCCTTCTTCGCCAAGATCTTCACCTCCATCAAACGACTGCCACCCCAGGTCAAGAAGGTTTGCCAGGTTCAGTTTTGTGCCTGGATCGGCTTCTTTCCCTTGCTCTTCTATACGTCTTCGTACATTGGCGAGATCTATGTGGAGCCCTATTTGCAGGCAAATCCACACATGTCGCCTGAAGAACTCGACGAGCTGTATGAACAAGCAACGCAAGTCGGCACTTTTGCGCTTCTGATCAATTCGGTTGTCAGCCTTCTGACAAACGTCTTGCTCCCCTTCTTCATTGCCCCGACATACGACAGCCACCCAGTGGTTGGTGATGTACCTGGGGAATCGGACATGGGACCGAAGTACTACGACGACGATAGCCCGCCGTGGCTCGACCGCCTTCAAATCCCCGGTTTCACTCTGAAGAGGGCATGGTTTGGGTCGTTGGTCTTGTTTGCTGGGGCCATGTTCTGTACCGTCATCGTCAGGACGGTCGAGGCTGCCACAGCTCTGATCGGCTTGGTGGGTATCACCTGGGCCATGACGCTCTGGGCTCCCTGGGCCATCATCAGCGCGGAGATCAGTCGACGAGATGCGATGGTCCGCGCCACGAAGCAACGCCGTCCGAGCAATGAACGTTCAGCCCACGGCAGCAGCAGCGAAAGTGTCTCATCCGACGTGCATGTGAGGAGAGATCGACACTCGATCCAAAATATCCAAAGCGACGATGAAGAGATGGACCAGGCGGGTGTCATCCTCGGTATTCACAACATGGCCATTGCGGCACCGCAGATCATCGCTACCATTGGTTCGAGCATCATCTTCCGGATCTGGCAGAAGCCAAGGGGAACACCGGGCGACCACTCCATCTCCGTCGTCCTGGCACTGGGTGGCATTGCGGTTCTCGTCTCGTCCTTCTTCGTGGCGAGCATTCACGAGAACACATCCATGCCGCTGGACGCCACGGCAGCAGCCGAGGAAGGAGACGGAGAAGGGAGCCGGCCGATGACAACTCGAAGCCGCAGTTACGGACATTTGCCCCGTGCCACCCTACAGAGGGCAACTCTGACCAGGAATAAGAGTTTTGGTGGATTGGAGTACTAACATGATGATATTCGTCGGCACAAGCCTCGCCACGCAAGGGACATGACTTGGGCTACGGAGTCGGGAGCTACTGGGGCGTTGCAAAGCGGATTGGAGGGTTTTCACACTGAGATTCTAGCGTTGAACGGGGAGAACATGCATTTTGGGACAGACGACGAGCATTGAGCAGAGGCCCACGCCGGATGAGGAGGATTTGATGGCGAGATAGACTGGAGTGATACACAATGCATGGGATCTATTCATTATGAACCACCTAGTGACTGCTGTGTACGACACACACCGAGTGACTTGGCCTCATGAGCTTTGTCAGTGAATGGTGTGAGGGGGGGATCTTGGCATTTCAAAAAGGAGAGGAACAAAACGCCATATTGAGTAAGCGCTACGAGCAAACATCGTAGTCTTCACACGTTCCCAGCTCAACCTTACGCCTGCGGTGCTCCCGGCGCCGTGAGGACCGTCGTTCCAAAATTCCGAGCACTGACGCCCCTCTTGAAGAGGACATCGAGCTCCGCGAAGCTGCGCCCCTTGGTCTCGGGCAGCCTGAAGAAGGCCCAGGCGAAGAAGGCGGCGTTCCACCCCGCAAAGACGAGCGCAGACTGGGGTCCCAGACCCCAGCCGTTGGGCGTGTCCTCGAGCATCTTGGGCGTCAGGAACAGGTTGAAGAGGCCGGCGACGAGATAGCAGCCGCGCCCGATGACGACCGTCTTGGCCTTGAGGCGCGTGGAGGACATTTCGCCGACGAGCGAGTACGTCAGTGGGCCGAGCGTCAAGTTGTAGACGCCGGTGAAGACGATGAGGAGCGCGGCGATAACCCAGGGGACGCAAGCGGCCGAGGCCTTGAAGAAGCCGAGGGCGCCGATGGCGGCCATGAGGAGGGCGGCGGCGCCGAGGCCCCCGAGCCAGGTGGCGCGGCGGCAGACGCGCTGCATGAGGGCCCAGCTGCAGGCGATGGCGACGAGGCCGAGGCCGTACTGGACGAGCGTGTAGTCGTAGGCCTGCTCGACGGCGATGCCGCCCTTCTGGTAGAGCTTGGCCGAGTAGAACATGAGGCACGACCCGCACAGCTGCTGCGTCAGGTTGAGCATGACGACAATCTCTGTGCGCCGCCTGTTGGTGCCGTGGAAGCAGTCGGCGTAGCTGGGCACGGCATCGGGCGACCCCCGAGTCGCGGCTGCCTCTGCCGCAACGGCGGGCACGCAGCGGACGGTTGGTTCGTTCTTGGACTTGGATGCGATGCTGGAGGTGCGGCTTGCCGTTGCCGGGCTGTGCAAGGAGTCCCTTTCGTGCTCGTTTGTGAGCTCCATGACGCGGATGTGGCCTTCCAGAGGGAAATCGGCCTGCTTGTTGAGCCGTCTGAGAGACTTCCTGGCGTCTTCGGAGCGGCCCTGACGAATGAGCCACCAGGGGGACTCGGGAGCGATGAACGCACCGATGGCGACGGGGACTGGCCATAGCCATTGCACCATAAGGGGGATTCGGAACGCGAGGAGATTGTTGTCCAGACGTGTGACAGCCTTATTGGCAGCTGTGGAGAAGAGTTGGCCAAAGATCCAGCACATGTTAATAAAGGTGGTGAGGGTAGGTCGCAGTTTGGCTGGCGCTATCTCAGAGGAATATGCCAAGGTTGTGGCCTGGAACACGCCCCAGGGGACGCCCATGAAGAGCTCGCCGACGAACAGCATACCGAGGCCTGCGTCCGAGCCACCGATGGGAATCACGCTTGGAGAGAAGAAGCCGATGAGAAGAAGAACCATGACCTGGCCAAGGGCGAAGATGACGGTCTTACGGTGGCCGTAGCGGTCGACAGAGTGTCCGGTAAAGTAAATGCCGATAAGCTGGCCTGCGAGAGCGGCGCACAGCATTCCACTCTGCCAGAGAGCAGGGATCTCCCGAGGAAGACCTGGGCCGTGAGATCTGCCGAAGAGATCTTGGAACTGCCTCAAGGAGAAGAAGTTGCCCATGAGAGCCAGATCATAACCCTCACCGATGATGGTGACGGAAAAGAGAACCGACCAGAAGATGGCCATTTTCCACGAACGGATGACTCTTCCATACGGTGACGTTTTCTCTTGGATGAAGGCATTGAGGGCCTCGGGCTCTCGCCGGATGTATTCGGGAGCGTCTTCATCCATAGTGTTGATAAGGCTGCGTCGTGATGGAGTCAGGTATCGTATCCGATGCAAGATGTTGATGTGTCTCAATATCAGACAGTCATGTCTGCCATGGCTGTCGATGAAGCTGACAGAGCACTGCCGCGTGTTTTTAAATGAGAATTTGGTATGGGGAAGGACACAAGGGTCTTGCCACATGAGGCGCCGTTAGTAGGTTTGCGGGTAGGTGTAGGTTCACGATGCGAAGGGTGGCAAGAGAGCCCGCCTTCTGTACCTCTAGTACCTAGCCCATGAGGTTAGGGTACCTCAGGCAGTTGGCTGGTCTATCCAAGGTGTCTGTATCTTGCATGTTGCCGGGGAGCAGCCGTGTCTGGCAGGTCGGGGCATCGCCAAAGCTCCAATCAGTCAACACGTCAAAGATTCCGGCGTGGTAATGCCCACTACTTCTCCTGTTCCCTCTCTTAGCATCAATAGAACGCTGACCAAGATTGGTAGGCAGGTAGACATGTGTGGCATATATGGATGCCAGCACGTTTCAAGCAGGTATTGTCTTTGCCTTGCACCGACATAGCGGAGATGGACATCATCGTCAAGGGTCTGTCTCCCTGGACCCTAGCACCATGCTCAGCTCATGAGACTCCAAAATATCATGATGCCACTCCGGCGGTGAGATGAGAAGGAAGGCAGGCCATCATCCGCACCCCCTCATGCGATCCGACAGCGCATCGGCAGAGGAATGCCGCCAGTGTTTTCTTGGCCGACGAAGCCCCGTGCCGGCCAGATGCTGATTGTGCTTAGGAGTTGGCAATGAGTGGCTCGTGGCGTTTTGAGTTTTCGGTTACTTCACAATCGGTGGAGAGGCCATGATGGCATGTTATGTTAGGATTGCGATTGTGGCTCAAAATTTGCTTGGTGCGGGCCTGCTTCCCTTAGCTGTGATGGGATCTCAATTGCCTAGGTACTACATCTCAGGATTGAAATATAAAAGATGAGAAAGGACAAGCGGTGTTCAACCTGGCCATTCGATGTTCTTACTTTGGCTGGCGTCCGGGGAAAGTCCGTCTGTGGAGATGCCGAAGTTTCTTCGTTGGTCCCAGACAGATCGTAGGGCTGATTCGAGTGTATCGATGTTTGGTAGTCCTAGTAGCATCAGAGCCATGGGCCCTGATTTTCCATGAGACTAGAGTCCGACCGGTGATGTTTTGGACCTTGGCTAAGATATAGTCAGCGGACTGACGTCGGCTCTTTGGTGCAAGTGCATCCATGGGAGAGCCTGCTTGCATCATTGCCGAGGCCATTTACAACATAGGTAATGCGCTGGCTCTGCAGCACCGGAGGTTATGTGGTGCACGAGAAGAAGCAACATTGGCATTGCTCAGCATCGTTACAATGTCAATGTCCGTCTTCTTGCGCACAGCAAGTGCGTCCATACCGCCCTGACGAGGGCTAGTACCTCCTCGATTCACCACGGTGCCTCCCTGAATCCCGCTCCCTGTCTCTCTCGCGATGACTACCTCGGTCGCGATCAAAGTCCCTGTCACGCCCTCGATCGCGGTCCCGCTCGCGGTCTCTCGCCGCGTCCTCGTATCGGTCTCTCTCCCGATAACCGCCTTCTCTCCTGTCCCTCCTCTCGGCCTTCTTCCTCTCCTCCTCTCTCCGGTAATCGGCAAGCTTAGGAGGCCGGCCATCGCGCTTCTTCGCACCGCCGTGGTTCCACTGCCCCAGGTCCTCGGCGTCCTGCAGCTTCTTCGCTCCTAGTCCGAGTTGGTTCTGCCGCCTCTCCCCCGCGGCCGCCCTCGACGGCTTGGGCCCCCGCATCTTCCCATCCCACCCCATGCCCCTCAGCAGCGCCGCCCCGAACTCCCCATCCGGTATGGCGTCGTAGTCCTCCATCGTCGCGTCGGCCCCAACATGCTGCGCCACGTCATCCTTGTAGGCGCTGTCCTCTGACGGCCGAATCGTCCTCTCCTCGGACGCGCGCTTCTTCCCCAGCAGCGCGTCGAGGGCCGCCTCGTCCGCCGTCTGCGGTTTCACGGCCTCGGCCGCCGGCGACGCAGACCGTCGACGTTCCCTGCCGTCGTCACGCCCGGCATCGCCGGTCCTCGCACCCTCCTCCTCGTCCTCGGCCTGCTGCTGTCGCGGCTTCGTCACCGTGAGACCCCACTTGATGTCCTTCTGCGCGTCCGCCGGCTCCGTGTCCTTGCCGGCCCCAGCCTGCGCGGCCTGCGCCTCGGCGGGCAGGAGGTTCTTGCCGCCGCGCTTGGCGCGGAGCTCGGCCTTCCAGTCGCGGTTCGACTGTTTCGTGATGACCAGGTCGCGGGGCTTCTTGCGGGACGACCTGTCGGCGTCCGAGTTGCCGCCCAGCTCGGAGATCGCTTCGTGGCGGTGGGCGCGCCCGTCGTCCGAGTCCGAGTCTGAGTCGTTGCCTAGAGCCGGGGCGCGAGACCGTTTGCCTAGACGAGAGGGCGGCGGTGGTCGGCTGGGTTTGGACGAGGATGAGGACGACGAGTTCTTGCCAAACGAGATGGCTATTCGGGGCGCGGAGGGGGGTTTGTGGTCTGGCATTTTGGGCGGTCTAGTTGGGGGTAGGGGGGGATGATGATGTTGGTGATGTCCAGATGTCGAATCGCGAAATCTTTCGAGCAGGAGCTACGCTTCGACGCGCTGCATGGGTACGTCACTTGAGCAGAGTTGATGTATTACATAAGCCCCTTTGGAGTGCGGTCTGGGCGCACGGGTGCATTGACTGGGCCCCAGAAAAAGAGTTCCCACACGTTACACCGCCGCCTCTACTGAGGAGCTTGGGCACGGATTGCCGGTGGAGGAGGGGCAGAAATGCCGAGGGGCACATCCCGAGGATACAAGGTCACGAAAGCAACAGTCGAACAAGAAACTCGGTTACACTATGGCGTGGGTTTTTCTTCTTCTGAAACCTGTGCGGTCTATATGTGGCCTCCCAACGTATATGTAGTTAATGTATGGTTTTTCGTTTGACGCTTGTCGCTACACTTAGAAGGCGAAGACCTGGTCGGCCAGCTTGCTGACGGGGCGGGCCTTCTCGAAGCCGAGTGTGACGGCCGTCTTCTTGAGGCCGCTGATCATCGGGGGAGGACCACACAGCAGAAGCTTGACGTCGGGAGCCGCCTCGGGCAGCCATTTCTGTAGAATGTTAGCGTAAACAGCGCGCAGCAGCGGGGGGCACGAGCGCAACTCACGGTGATCATGTCGGCCGTAACGTAGCCGACACCGCCGGTCCAGCCCTCGGGGGCCTTGTCGAGCACGTAGTGGACGCGGAAGCCGCTGTCCTCCTTGGCAAGGGCGTCGAGGTCCTCCTTGAGAAGAATGTCCTGCTGGGTGACGTTGGCGAAGATGAGGTCGACCTGGGTCGTGTCACCGGCAGCGCGGCCGCGGATGATGGCGCGGACGACCTGGAGCATGGGCGTGATGCCCGTGCCGCCGGCAATCATGCCGAAGTGGCGCACCATGTTGGGGGTGTAGACAAAGGCGCCCTTGGGGCCCTTGACGCGGATGGGCTGGCCGACCTTGAGGGAGGCCATGTGCTTGGAGATGTTGCCCGTGGGGTACGACTTGATGAGAAGGTCGAAGTAGCCGGGCTGGTGGTCGCCCGAGATGGGAGTGTAGGAGCGAACAATCTCCTTGTGGGTGCCGTCGGGCTGCGCGAGGACCTCGCCGATCGAGATGTGCTGGCCGATGGGGAGGCCGAGGATCGAGGTGGGCGAGGGGAGCGAGAAGCGGTAGCTGGTAGGTCAGCACGAGATCATGGCAGTCAGAGGGGCCGCGAGGACGTACATGGCGACATTGTGGGAAATGATGGTCTTCTCCTTGAGCTCAAACTCTTGGTAGACGTCGGGCTTGAGAACCTTCTTGATCTCTGCACAAGGCGTCAGCAGCGGTCTCGAGAATTGATGCCAGATACGGATGCTCCAACGTACTCAGGCTGAAGAACTTCCAGCTGCCCAGAGCAAGCGCCACGAGAACGGTATAGGGGGTCCATTCGCGCTTGACGATGAGGGTGCCCACGATCATCAGGACGACGGGGATGTAAACCCCGTCGACAAACTTCTTCGAGCCCAGTGCGTCGGCCATGGTGCAGGTGAGGGCACGTGTATGCTTGATATGGCCTTGTTGGAGAGCGAGTGCGGGAGCGGATTGGCAGGGCAAAAAAGAAGCGAACGAAGTGAAGCCGCAAAAGTTGCGATCGTAAGATGCGCCCAGGGTAGTGATGCCCAGACCACCTAGATACCTTAATTTGGCGCAGACGAGCAGTTGTGTTGAATTCTGCCGGTGGCTCTGCCGAAGCGGTCAGTCCAGCTCTGGGCTCGGCCGAGTGCGGAATCTCGGAACGCTCAGCACTTACCTCGCCTTTGGCACCTTCTAGTGGCAGCACCTGGGAAATGCCCCTCCATCCTACAGTCAAATGTACCAACTGATTCGGATGAAGCTTCTACGGAGAGGCGCAATGTCAACTTCGTCCACCATAGTACGCGAAGATGAAAGCTGCTGTCATTCCTAGCCAAAGCTACTTGGGTCTGCTTCCCGTTGGCTCAATACTATCCAGCAATTCATCACATGCTCCATCACCAAGTCCAACCATCGCTTTTGTGGTGACGCATTTCTTGACGTTCATGGCCCCTCTTCTGCCCGGATCTCTCTCGGCACGGAATGATCGAATCATTGACGCAAGCAACACCCATTTCAAACAGGATAGCACGATTGGGCACAGTATTCCCCAGACACCATTCTCCCTTCACGATGGAAATTATATTCAATCGTCGTAAATCTGCAGCCACTTCAGCTTGTGCCTGATGCGCTTCCATGTGAATGGCATTTGGCAATTAATTTGTCGATGCATTCATGTGGTGCTCTTCCGAGAGTTCAACTGCTTGACTTCTGAACCAAGCATCTGATGGCTGCTCCCACCCTCCGCATGAACATTTTGAGGAGGCTTGTATCTCGACAGATCCTGTCAACATTGAAGCTATACCAGTCGCTCGCTTCGAGGGACTTCTTCAAGGGTTCCCGTTGGGCAGGACGTTTCCCGCTTCTTATTAAAAGAATCGTTACCCAACATGGCCCCCGCTTCAAAGCATTTGCAACGCTTGTCCAGTGGCAGTGTGCACGCTTGCTTGAGAGATGGCTCGGGTCCCATGAGGATCGAATCGTGGCCTTTCAAATTCAGATCAAATGTTTGAAGATCCATGGGAGACTAGTAGTCGTCAGATCTTTCCAGGAAATGAGAGACTGCGGAACCCTGGGTCGGCAGCCATGGGTTGGGCGCAATGCAAAACCAGCTTCTCGAAACGTCGCAGAATGTATGTATCCTTGAGCTACTTGTTCAAAGAAGGGAATAGTAAGCCTCTCAGATTTGACAGGAGCACACGAGGGCTGCCCCAGACTGGTACTGTGTTGGCTGCATCTTTGGTCTCCTTAACCTGAGGCTCGGGTTCTATACATTTACGTGGGCAAAAATCTAGGTGCAGGCACTGTGAATCATTCATTTTATAAGTTTTCAACTTGCCAGCTCCGCAATACTCCTGACACAACCATCACGTCCTGATTGTAGCTCCTGTGGACCCCAGCCACCCTCAGCATATGATTTCGCGTACTCTGGAGCCCGATAGCTCGAACTGCCTTGGGTGGGGGGCTCGCCTTGCTCAGTGATCGAATTTTGCTTGCGTTTCCTCCGCAGTAAATACACAACTGCGATAGTGGTGCCGCATATCAAAGCCAGACCACCTAGAACACCACCAATGATCGGACCTAGTTGTGTCTTGGACTCACTCGACGAGGAAGCGTCCTCAACTGGCGCTGAGGAGGCTTCTGTGTTACGTCTTGACGTTGCAGGTTCTGTATTATGGGAATTCTGTGCCTCTGTCAGAGGTCTTCCGACGGAATCTGTAATCGCGGTCGTCTGGGATGGCGTGGATATAAAGTTTTCGCTTGTGGTCACAGAGGACTCGGTGCTCGAAGTTGCATCTTCCGTTGGAGTCGGGCTGATGAAATAGTGATCGGTCCCAGACTTAGCGCCGCAAGCAATGTATGAGTAGGTCTGATCGACGCCTACTGTGAGCACGGCTGTAGAGCAGAAGTCCCTGAGGCTATGTATCGAGAACTGTCAGTTCACCAAGGTACTCCATCGAATGCGAATATACGAAGTCATCGCAGTCCCATACGGAAACTAAGACATACCAGGAGAAAGTTGTCAGATCAGGCCGGTCCGTCAGACCACATCCCGTGGAACAGTCATGATCATCGAAACAACTTCCGGCCAGCCCACAGTCGCTAGCCGACAAGACTGTTGTCGGACAGAATCCCCAAAGGCCATTTTGGACATCTATGCGACAATTGTATCCAGAATTTGCGGTTCTCGGTCGGTCCGGATCTCCTTTGTCGTACCCGCAAGTTGACAGTTCGGTCACGGCTGCCCTCTTCTGCAAAAGACGAGTGGCGTTCGCAGCAGAACCCGAATTTTCAGAAAGGGCGGCCGTCACGGCATAGGTTTGGTGAAAAGGTTTGAAGCCAGAGCATCTTGCAAGTACGTTGAGAAACATGAAAAGAAACACTACGCGATCCATAACTCGGTTCATCGTCTGGCGACAGCTCGAGGATGGACCACAAGTTCAAGAACCATCCAAGACTTTCTGCAGCAGACAGCACAGGTCAAAAAGGAGGCGGGCTAAACCACGTCCCTGTTCGAAAGGAGGACATTTGATACCCACTCCTCACGCAGAAGGCGTTGGGTCTAGGTCACTTGCACTATCCTCGGCTCGCCACCTACTATCCATCACCAACCGAGCCGTGATAGCAATCACCGACACAAGATCAAGAGTCCTATACAGCCCAGAGAGCTGAAGCCGCATCAGTATTTACAATATTTCTTTCACCAATATAGTAGATGACATGTCTAGACAATATAGAGAGAGATTGCGAGCTTTGGGGGCTTCACAAGAGAAGTCTGACAGATGTTGGGACGACGTGTGAGAGTCAGTGTTTTCCTCACCCTGTTAACCGTTGACACTCAATCTGCAAGAGACAATAGCGCTATCCCTGACACACTGCCTGTGGGCTGTTCAAGCATTGCGGCGTCTATCGTAAAACCTGGATTGGCCAGATAAGAAGCGTTCCGTGGATTTGGTAAATCAAGCGCCAGGGTTGTGCTGCACCAGGATGGGCTCCGCATCTCGCCATCAAACACACTTCCTCAGACAACTTTTCATGAAGCCTCTGGAATATGGCCATTGACTGATGGATTCGTTTGTTGCATTCATCCGCAGGACTCTGTTGCTAATGCTGTTTCTTTTGAGATGCATCAATCTGGACGAAGAGAGGTAATCCTGATCGTATATCGAACCATTGATCTCGACGCCTGGGTCATGCTGGTGCTGCTGTTGCTCATATCATCACAGCGTTCCGTTCGTTGGCGCTAATTCTCCTGTCACAGTGCGGATGCAACCTGGACAGGCTGCCAGTCGGACAAACCTGTAGGTTGTGCCCCCTGAATTTACCTAGGCCACCCAGCACCCAACGGCTGGCCCATGAAGTCAAAATAGGTAGAATTCACAGGCGCATCATGTTTTTGTTCTCCTACGTAGCAGCCTGGTGCGTTGTTTGATCATACCTTCCTTTCTTCACTGATTTCGGTCATGCCCGGACGTCAAATCCATCCGTCGCCATGCACCACGACCGCCGGTTCCTGCTCTTGATGGTGCCAGTGGTGATCTTTTTGTTGTTGGCAGCAAGCCTTTACCTCGGCAGTGATCACCTGACGCTCATCTCTGGCCTCCATGTTCCGTTCCTGAGTCACTGGCAGCCGGAAAATCAACCTGAAAGCATCACGTCATCAAGTCTCCCAGACAGTGATGCCACATTTACGTCTCTCCCCGTACCGAGCAGTACAGTGCTGCCACCGGCACGAGTAGATAATGGTTCGTGAACTCGGCCTTGCTCATCAGTTGTTTGAGAAGATGCAATCTGACAGTGCCACAGGAACGGTTCTTACAGCAGAGAAGATCCGACCCTACATAGACTCCATTCTCGACCCCGAGTCAACGGCTCTGCCGCGCTTGGGGTGCCCCCGCGTGAATAGCACGCGATATGATGTCTTGAGAAACATGAGCGAAGCAAATGACAACCACGTCGATTACTACTTCGCTTTAGACTTGCGCAACTGCCGCGACCTCCTGCCGCGGCTTCTAGGTAGCATCGTCGAGGTGATGCGCTTCCTCGGACCAGACCGATGCGCCCTGTCGATCGTCGAAGGGCATTCTCCTGACGGAACGGCAGACATCTTAGCGGCATTGGCACCTTTCCTGCGACGAGACGGCTTCTCTTACCACTATCAGTCTTCGGACATCAATCCAGGGACAGGCTCAAGGATCCTGAAGCTCGCCAAACTGCGGAACCTGGCGCTGGAACCTCTGCTGAACCACACCTATCGCACATCGGCCAACACGACGGTTCTTTTCATCAACGACGTGGCCGCATGCGCTGAGGACCTCCTCGAACTGGTGCTTCAGTGACGAAAACTAGACGCCGACATGACTTGCGCACTGGACTGGACATATGTCGGCCGCGATCCCACATTCTACGACGTCTGGGTCGCACGCGGCATCAACGGGGACTCTTTCTTCAACATCCCTCCTAACGGAAGCTGGGACTACGCGTGGAACCTGTTCTGGAACCACCCGCAGACCAAGGCACGCCTGGATTCCAATGTCCCTTTCCAGGCGTTTGCCTGCTGGAACGGCGCCACGGCCTTCACAGCTGCGCCTCTCCTCGACGGTCTGCGGTTCCGCAACGTTCACAAGGGGGAATGTGCTCAAGGCGAGCCGCAAATGTTCTGCAAGGACCTCTGGCACAGAGGCTTTGGCAAAATCGCTGTGGTGCCAGCCGTCAATCTGGAGTATTCAGACGAAAAGGCCGAGAAGCTGAAGAAGCTGAAGGGCTTCACGTCCGATCTCGTCAGACACCAGACCGAAGAGGACGCCAAGATCGAGTGGGCCGGGCCACCGGAGAAGGTGAAGTGCATGGAGGGTTGGCAGAACCAGTTTTGGCGACCGTGGAACGAGACATTGACGTGATAAGACGGATGAGTGATGTATAAAAATCGATGGATGCAATGCGAATTCGTGCGGCAAGAAACCGAATCGCGTCCACCACATGCCTCGTGGTGAACGTGATCTCCGATGGCAAGCCATGACTCCACGCGACCGAGACCGGCCCGGTCCAAGGACCGGAAAGGGGGCCCGGCGCTATGACCGGAGGGGGATGAATCATACCTTTCCACGCCCTATGCAAACACACGATTGAGGGGTCGGAGGGGTCAGCGATATAAAGAGGCTTCGATGAAGTCTCCCTCACCTCCCCTGGACAGTTTAATTTTCTCGCAAAAACCGGCAATTGTCGTGCTTCCAGTCAGCCCAAGGTCGTTGCGCTTGGTCTAGTGTGTGCGCAGGAATTACCCACCCAATGGCGACAGAACTTCAGACCTTCCACAGTCCGAGGGAGGCCTCGGCTGGAGCCGATGTTGAGGAAGCCGAATCTCTCGTTCCGACTCTCCCTTCTTCCGATAGGGGAGCGCCGGCCTTGAAATTCCTCTTCGGAGCCTTCGTGATTGAGGCTTTGCTCTGGGGTGCGTTCCCCCTGGCTCGATTTGCTACAGCCGCCTTTTCCCATGTTTTTCTGTTTGGCTAATCCATCTGCTCGTCCGCAGGCTTCCCACTCTCATATGGTGTGTTCCAGGAGTATTATGCCAAACACCCAAACTTCGAGGATGAGCATGACAAGATCGCCGTCGTCGGTACCTTGGCCACTAGCATATACTTTTTGGGGGCACCCCTCGTGACACCTCTCGTCAAGCGTTTCCAGCACTGGCAGAGACACATGATCATTTGTGGCTTTCTCTGTTGCATTGCATCGCTCGTCGGCGCCTCCTTTGCCACTTCCGTTTCGGGTCTCATCGCCACTCAGGGCGTGTTGTACGGACTGGGCTTTACTCTTCTCTACTTCCCCGTCTTGCGCATGCTCAATGAATGGTTTGTCACAAGGAGAGGCCTGGCATACGGTGTCATGTTCGCTGGTGGCGGCTTCAGCGGCGTCGGCTTCCCGTTCCTCCTCCAAGTCCTTCTGGCCAAATACGGCTACCAAACCACGTTGCGGGCCGTGGCTGTGGGACTGTTCATCGCCGTACTCCCAGTCCTCCCAGTGCTCAAGGGGCGCCTGCCAGTCTCGCATCACGGCGCTCTACGTGGTATCGATGTCAGCTTCTTCAAGCAGCCGTTGTTCTACGTCTTTGCCTTCTCCAACGTCGTCCAGGGCCTGGGTTACTATATCCCAGGCCTGTACTTGCCGACCTACGCGTCTAGCATCGGACTCTCAGGAACAATGGGTGCGCTGATCCTGTCGGCCCATAACCTCGCAACTACGTTCGGACAGGTCGCCATGGGCTACCTCTCGGATCGAGTCCACAATGTTCTCGGTCTTGTCTTCGTATCTACCTTCGTCTCAGCGCTGGCGAGCTTCCTCATCTGGGGCTTTGCCGCCAACCTTGGAACGCTACTTGCCTTCGCCTTGGTGTATGGCTGGTTTGCAGGCAGCTTCGTCATCCTGTGGCCAAAGTTTGGATCGATCATGTCGGATGACCCAGGACCTGTCTACAGCATGATGGCTTTTGGAAAGGGCATCGGCAATATCCTGACGGGCCCGATCAGCGCGCCGCTGATGAGTGGGCCTGTCGAAGCCGGGTATGGACTGAACGAGTTTGAGCCGCTCATTCTGTACCTCGGATCCATGATGCTGCTATCTTCTCTGGGCATCGCAGGCTGGCCTGTTCGTGTGCGGTAGGCGAGCCATACCTTGCTGTCTTGTCGGGGTTAGATATCTCCCGCGAGGGCGTTGATCAGGAGCATGGAGATCGACTGCGAGCGTCCGGACTAGTTGATATCCGAGCTGAGAAGGGAGAATGCAGCAAAACGAGGGTGTGTTGGCAGGTTAATAGAGAGACTCTAGACAAGCAAACATCTTGTACTTTGTGCCACTTCTCTCCCTTCACAGAAGCCACAACTGTGTTGTGGCCGTGACAAGACCTGGGTCAGGGTGATACGCATCGTCAGAACACCAGGGGTAGGACTGTATGATGTCCCTAAGGCGGTACCTTAGATGGTGGAATCTAAGTTTTGAATTCAATTCTAGAAAGCCCTGCGACCTGCCGTACATGGCCGGAATATGAAATGGCAGGGCACGTGATCAATCCGGGCGTTCCTGCTCAGACGCACCCAAACCAAGATCAACTCAGCATCGGCAGTGAAAGACGCAACGAGGTTGCACCTGCCCTGCCTAGCATGCCAGACCGCCTTTGCTTCTCGTGGTTTGCCAGCCGGGCAATTTGCTCTTGAATTGAGTTTCGTAGCCAAAGGGGCGAGCAAAACCGAGCCTCACACTCACTCGCCTTTTTCCCACCCACCCTTCGCTACATCTCGCGGACTCGCTCGACCATTCTCGGTACCAAGGCATCAGATTAGGACGGACAGACAGGCAACCAGGCGGTCGGCAACATCAACACCATCAGTACCAGCGCATGCGGCAGTGGCTTGTCGCACCCTTGGCAGCGCCATTGGGCGTGAGGGGGTGCGCCCACTCGACCCCTGCGGAAGATCACTTGGATCACCACTCTGGCGACTTGCTTCGCCTGGAAAGCCCCCGAAAATCTCCCCGGCGACCAAGCGCAAACCGCTGCATGCTGCATTCCTACCCCCCTCGATTGCTAATCCGTTACCTGTTCCTGAGTGTCTGTCGCTCGCTGGTCTCATTTTGTCGTCTGGCCGGCACAAATAACATCTGCTTTCGTGGACGGGAATTCACGCGGCCCAGAATGCGCCGCAGACGTGAGCGGAGAGAACATCTATTCTAGTCCCGGCGACTCGTTCTCAACCCCAATTCAAGGGTCCTCCATACGATGGGGTGTCTCCCTCTTGGCAGTACTGGCACCGGCAACGACACCGAAATGGTGTTCGCACGTGGATCACATCAGGGTGACAAGACGGGGTCAAACACGAGCGACCAGCAAAAAGCAACCAGGGCGTGGCCTGTCCGCGCCGTTTCGTATCCGTATAGCAGCTGACATGTCTCCCGATTAGCTCTTCAACACAAATCCCGAGGACTCGTCATCAGTAAAGCTTTACAAAATCTCCGCTTGAGAATAGCATCAATTGGAAACACAGCCCAGAGGGCGGGCGCTGCTAAGGGTCCCTCCTAACTGATGAGGGCAAGCGCCTGTACATACGACACCAACATTCCGAGCGGGCAAGGCGATGTGGGAGGGGGCTACAATCAACAACCCAGCAACGGGTCGACATACCATACCAAGCGCCGCCAGCTGCCCCTCCCATCTCCCTTCGACATCATCGGTGGATGTGATCGATCGCATCATCGGCCTGTGCTCCCCAAGCCCAGCACAAGCCAGACCGGCAGACTGCTGGCTGACAGGCCAAACACCACCCGAAAGCCTAAAAGGAAGCCCAAAGACGACCCCTCGCCAGGGCCAAGGAACGGCTCAGTCTTGTCTCATTGGCGACTGCACTACGGCGCGCTGGTCTCAGCCAGGGAACCCCCGCCGCTCCGTGTTCCATTGGCTGCATGCAGACGGGGTCGGAAACAGGATGCCAATCCATAGCATCATCTCTGCATCAGACCAGGCTGCCAGCTTTCTCCCCCAATTCCCATCCAAGCCCTTCAAGCCCGTACCATCTTTCGATCCCGGAATGCCTGTCCGCCACCCCTGGTCCTAGTACTGACTGTTAGCGTCTTGCCTGTCGTCTCCGTCTCCTCCTCGACCTTCCCGGTCCTGGTCCTAGTCCTGATCCTGTCTGGTCTTGGTGTCACTGGCGGACTTTCCAAGCTTCCTCGAGACATTTCTGCTAGACACTAGATAGACTTCCAAGCTCCCACGCCATCGACGTCTTGGATGTGACCTTCCCTTCGTCTTTGTGCTCAATCCTTCAATACCCAGACCACACCATCTTCCGCCTACCGTGAACCTTACATCGTGCATCAACATCAGCCGCCCCCCTTTCTATGCCACTCAGCTTCTATTAAGCGCTGACGGCCCACACCCCTCGTCTGTTACTCTCCTGTCATGGAGCGATGATTCATGGCCTGAGCCTTTTCCCTTGAGCTCATCGGCCATCTGGGCCTGACCAGGCCGAGATCAGCATCTGCTGAGGCAGCAGTAGCAATTCAACTCGAATCTTCACGCCGTCTGCAGCCCATCTGGGATCGTCAACATGGAGTCTGTTCTCGCCAGCCGACCAAACCTCCCCGCTCTGCACACTGGCAACCACGACCACCATGGCCACCATGGCCATGCCCGTAGCAACTCCGATTACTCGGGCTCTGCCCCGCCTGCTTTCGCGGCGAAGAAGCGCGGCAGCTTCCTGTCAAAGACCTTCAAGAGCTTCAGCAGCCTGTCGTCCCTCGAATTGACGGCCGAGGAGGCTCCATCGGGGTCACAGACACCCCCGCGTCGAGTTCTCACGAAAACCCCCACTCGCAGCTCCTCCATCTTCCATCGCATCAGTCGCCGACCCTCCAAAGACTCGACTGCGAGCTCCCATACATCGGAAACTTCAGGCAAGCTAGCAACAATGAAGGTTATCAGGCATGGTCCTCTCAAAACCGATGCCAAGCTTTGGAAGTCGCGCGCCGAGTATGTCGTGTTGACTGAGACGTGCCTGCTCAAGTTCAACAGTATAGACGCTGCGAGAGCAACATTTGTTGACATAGGAGGACAGACGAACAGATTGAGCAGGGCGTCGACGACAGCTTCTCTCGGACAAGACACAACATCCGCCGAGCCAAGCCTTCAGATTCCCTTGCGTCGCATCATAAACATTTTCAATGAGGAAGGCTCGAGTCCTCATTTCGGCCTCGATGTCTGGTGGTCTGAAGCACCACCCGCGGTCTCCTGGGCGAACAACAAACTGTTTTTCGGAATGCCCCAAGAGAGGAACGAATGGATGGCTGAAATACGCCAGGCCATCAGGGAATTCGTGGGCAGGTCCTCTGTGCCCGGAGGCATCGTGGC